CAGGAAAGGGAAATTAAGCTGTAGGAATTACTAGATGTTGGCTCTAAAGCAATATTCATTCTTGGGGACTCAGAATGGCATTATGGTCCAATAGTCAAAGCAAAAGTTTACAGAAGTGATAAATGCAACTTTGGTTCAGTTACACTTCACAGTGGACCTGGAGGGGCCCTAAATTTATTCTGTGGTTATTTTCTAATTTCAAACTGCAAAGTTAGAATAAAAATACTCAGCTTTGGCAGTATTTCTATACTGGTTAAGTCTTTTGTGAGAGAGGAGTAAGCTCTATTGTACTAGGAAAATTAAGGTTGAAAGACTTACAAAGTAATGAACGAAAAGGAATATAAACCTCTCAGATGAAATGTGGACATAAGGACTTTCATCAAGGACCTACAGGATGAAGTGGTGTGCAGGAGAGTTGGATATTGGAAAATGATAATTGAGCATCATAAACATAATCACAGGTAACTTCAATTACAGGTGCTTTTCCAATTGTGATCTCTTTACTGAACCAGTGAACACATGCCGTGTGAGCAGGTATGTGACTATTAAGTGGTGAGTTGTTAAAAATAAAATAAAATAAAAGTAGTGAGTTATTTTATGACTATACTTTTTAATAAAGGATACCAGAACCAGTTTTCAGCTGACAGGATCAGCAAACTTGTATCAGTTTTGCAGCTGTATATAATAATCTAGTCCACAGGGAACTTAACAGCCTCTGTATTCCACAGTATATTATGCTCTACATCAATATCATGCTAATTAGATATGGTGAGCAAAAGTGAACAAATATTCTTGATACATTGAATATGTATTCATGATACATCTAGATACATACATGCTAGATATAGAAAATCATCATCTAAAACACCAGGTCCTACTACTTTGGTAAAAAATGTCTAGGGTCCCAATGTTCTGGGGGGTATGTTGAGATATCTTTTCCAAAGTTAAGGCTGCTTGGAATTCATAGTCTGACCTATTTAATAAGAAATCTAAAAGGCTATTGGTTTTGAATGAGGACCAGAGCAAAATAATGTTCTGCCATATGTCTGGGCTGCCATACAAATCAATCTACCCCTGGGGCTGTATGACCCGATAGATCTGAACATGCTTGAAGTGTTTATGGCATATGGGGATGCTGTACAGAGCCTTCGGCAGGTCTCTACAGGATCACATTGCAAACTTTTAGGATGCTGAGCAAAGCTCTGTCATCTTCCGCAGATGTGTTCTCTTTTGATAGCTTCTGGCTTGCTACTGCACCCGAGCAGACAGACCATCTGACTATGAGCCCCCGAGTAACCATTAAACCTGATCTGCCCTTCAAGAACTGGGCAATGTCTAAGCCACTAGGTAATAAAGCTGAGTGTGCACAGTAGCACTCTATCATCAAGTTGATGCTTTATATATAACGTTCGCTCAGCAGGGCCTGAAGGTAAAAGTAAAACAAAATGAGACTGAGACTTGCATGGCTCCTTCGCCTGCTGCGCTGTCTTCTCTCCGAACTCACACAGGGCCACGCGGCCACTGCCTTGTGACTTACTGATGGAGGAAGAAAAGATTCGAGTGTATTTCACAGTTGAGTCTACGTGATATGCTGGCACCACCTGAAAGGAGATGGCTTCAGCACTGCATCCCCACCCCGGGGCACCCTTCGGGAGCTGCGCTCTTCAGGGACTACGAAGGAGTGTGATGAATGGAAACCCTTCCAGATGGACAGAACTTCAAGGGATGCCCCAGTCATTCATTTTTCCTGGAGGGGGAGATTTTCAGCTGCAAATATTCACACTGACTCACAAGCAGTGACTAATTGGTTGGCTAGTTGGCGAGGGAATTTCAAAGGAACAGAAGTGGAAAATGAGTCATAAAGAGGTCCCTGGCTTAGGCCTCTCTGAGTGGTACAGTCTGAAGATATTTTCGTCCTATTGTAAATGGTATGAAAGAAATGCAGATGGCAGGAGGGGAGTATGTAGAAGGATTTAGATCAGTAATTCTTAGGCTTAGGGCCAGGGCGGGGACTGTTACAGATTCTTTTTAAAACTTAATGTTATATAGAACTTCTCTCCAGAAAACACACAAACCATATGTACTATATATATACCTTCTGGAGGCTCTGGAGGCTCATGAATCTTCTAACCTAAAACATATCTACAGACCTCTTTGACCAGAGGTCAAAAAAAACCTCTCTTATACAGTACAGATCTGTGAACAACTGGACATCAACTAATTACAAGATTTCAAAGGGCAGTGAGAATTCTTTGAAGCCTAGCCCCCAAGTAAGCATTACAGTTAACTGCAGACTTTAAAAGTCAGAATCTATCCTGTCTTTTCTCCACTCAGTCTATTTTCTCTTTGCCTTTTTCCATCTCTTTAACTAAGAACCAAAAAATTTTTAAATGATCTTAAAGATCAAATAATCTAACTTCTCTTGCCCTAGATTTTATTGAAGAAACAGACCCAAAAGATAAAGTGAATTATAAGATGATATGATAGAAAATCAGACAGAAAGACTATAAGTAATAAGTACAGTGTACATACTTTCTTTGGGCCAGACACTGTTCTAAATATGTTAAGTGCTTTAAATCATTTAATTCTCATACAACCTTAATATTGTCATCTCCAAGGAAACTGACGCTTGAGAGGCAAATAAATTGTCACAAGTCACATGGGTGTGTGATGAAAGTTCTTGATACAGAGTCTGACATGGACGGGAATTAAGTGAATTATTAACAGCTGTTTCTTTTCCTTGTTATTTCTCAACAGAAATATTTGATGATGATGTACTAGAACTAAATTTTGCTAACTCCAGAGCCTTGTCCACCCACGCTTACACTTGTCTTCCATGCCTTCTTTCCTGTCCCTAAACCTGACCCTAGTTCGAAATTAGAGCATCTATATTTGACTAAATGCAATTCAATTCTTATTCTTTTGTCTTAACAGAAATCTCCCTTGAGTTCAACCCTACAAGAAGTTTACCTGAAATAGGCTCCTTTTCACATCTTTGTATTTTTATTATTACTATTTCTCTGAATTCCAGTTAATACAAAAGTTCTTCTCTTTTACTAGTTAAAATAATTTCTGAAATGTTCCAATGATTGTAAATATTAATTTATGTATTTAAAAATTATATTCGTATAAATCTTGAAATGATTATAGTCTATTTTTTTTCTCAGTATATACTTCTTTTAACTGAGATTCAGCCGTCTGACATATTTATGCAGATTTGAAAACTGTTGAGACTTGATTTGGTTCTTCATTAGAAAAAACATAATCAAAGGTAGTGTCTGATTGAGAATCACTAAGACACAGCATGCCTGCTGTATTAATTTAGGATTCAAACTAGAAACTTTAAACTGAGAGATGTTATTTATATGATTTTTAAAAGTTGATTGTTGATTCAATTTTTCATCACAGGATATTTTATAAAATGACACAATATCCTCTATGATAAATTCTTCTAAGTTTCCAAATTATATCCCCAGTGTTGCACTAGTTGGAGCATGGAGGTTTAATCATGCTTTCTCCTGCACAGAGATTGTGACTATCCATGAACGCTTTTAAGCCAATTTTAGAATTGTGCATTTAGGCTTACTAACAAGTTTCTTGAGGGATTCATGTGTAACACAGCCAGAGCAAAGCAGTCACCAAAACAGTATTTGACAGTTTTGAGGATGACAAATAAAATGGTAAACCATGAAAAATGTTATCCTCCAGTAGTCTTTTTTGTTCCATTTTGCAGATTTGTTGCTAAACCCCTGCTACAGGTATCAAGCAACTCCTGAGGAAATTATTATTACTGGTAGCATTTTAGTTTGCTCTTTGTTTGAAAAGGGCTTCCCTGATAGCTCAGTTGGTAAAGAATCTGCCTACAACGCAGGAGACTCCGGTTCAATTCCTAGGTTGGGAAGATCTGCTGGAGAAGGGATAGGTTACTCACTCCAGTATTCTTGGGCTTCCCTTGTGGCCCAGCTGATAAAGAATCTGCCCACAATGAGGGAGACCTGGGTTTAATACCTGGGTTGGAAAGATCCCCTGGAGAAGGGAAAGGCTACCCATTCCAGTATTCTTGCCTAGAGAATTCCATGGACTGTTAGAGTCGCAAAGAGTTGGTCATGACTGAGCAATTTTCACTTACTTACTTATTTTAAGAGAATGCAAGTATGTTAAATACTTGGCTTCCCAGGTGGCTCAGTGGTAAAGAATCTGCTTGCTAAACGCAGGAGATGCAAGTTCGAGCCCTGGGTTGGGGAGATCCTTTGCAGGAGGAAATGGCAACCTACTCCAGTATCCTTGCCTGGAGAATCCCATGGACAGAGGAGCCTGGGGGGGCTGCAGTCCATGGGGTCCCAAAAGAGTCAGGTACCACCTAGAGACTTAAAAAACAAATGCTAAATTTATACTGCAAAGGATACTCCTTTGAGAATATTCCTCAGTCAATAGAACTTGTAAGTGTTTAGGAAAATAAAAGTATCTTCAAAAAGTATTAAGGTGTCCAAACTAACTTATAAGCACCAGGGCAAGACACCGGGGGACTTGATCCCTCTGTCTTAAAGCCTAAGAAAGTGCCCAGTACCTAAAAATAATGGTAACTTGGGAACATTTACAGTGTAACAGGCACAGGTGTCACGGTTCAAGGCAAGAACAATTCTTATCCCTTGCCAGCAAACCACTGCCCTGGGTTTCTAGATAAGAACCAAAGCCATAGAATAATTTACCCAAACACGGTAGCAGTAGAAGGGTTCAAACTCTGGACGCATGTCTTTAGAACCTGGAAGGTTCATACTTATTGAGCAAATGAATGGTGTCATAGTTAAGATCAAACTAAACATAAATAAAAATTAAATAAAAACTGGGTCAGAGCAGGAGGCCTGTCCTGACCAAAATATCCCCCTGGGGGACTCCAAGAAGAAACGACCCTGGCAGCCCCACTGGTTTCTTGTGAGGAAGGGACCTCTCATCCCCTGGGGCAGGCGTCTCAGGTCACCTGTGCCCCTGACCCCGAGGAGATGCCACCGTCAGCCTTCACATCCCAAGCCTGGCAAGACCCAGCTGGCACCAGCTCCGCCCACTGGGCAGTCCCAGGCACTGCCCACGCGCGGGGGGAGGGGTGTGCTGGGATTGGCCCGCTCTGCTCCGGGCACAGCTTCCTATTGGCCGTGGCGCCGAGCACGCGCGCTCCAGTAGTGCGCGCAGGTACAAGTCTGGCCAAGTCCCGGGTCTCCAAGAGCATCCCAGCTGCGCGCTCGCACATGGGGGCTGCGGCGCCTTCACTCCTGGATCCGCATGTGCAACCAGCCCTGGCCGGATGCGAGGCAGCTCGGCGTCGGCTGGACTACTGGTCTCCGCCACCCCCTCGTCCTTCCTCCGGCCAGGCTGGGCATGCGCTGGTGGGTTAGGACCCTGGCCCTTGTGGGCTTCCCTTCCGTGGCTGGACCTTGGCGGCGCCGTGGGGTTTGCACAGCAGAGAGCAGGTCCCGCGGCTCGCTGTGGGCACCTTCTCCATCGGCTGTTGGTTCCGGAACACTTTCCAAGAAGAGGGTAGAGGGCACATCGGGGTGTAGAGTCAGGGGCGGGTGCCCCGACTTGGCTTCGGAGGCTCAGGAGTGTTGGGAGGGCGGATCTGGTGGGACGCAGGGTCCTGCTCTGCTGTTTCTCTATGGGACCGTGCCCTACTGGTGGCAGAGAGCCACCCCTGAGAAATGTGGGGTGCAGTACCTGCTCCATAACGTGGTGGGGGTACTGAGGGACTCACGCTCTGAAGCACCTGTGACTGTGTGTGGCTCCAGAAAGTGGTATACATTGTTACTGTCTTAAGACTGTGTCATTACGTTTTCACAATGCACGGTGATCCCCGTGTTTCTCCTTTTATGTATTATATTTGGAGGCGTTAGAGGGTCTCGCATGCATTTAACAAGTATGTATTAACATTTAAGTGATGGCAATGGTACCCACTCCAGTATTCTTGCCGGGGGGAATCCCCGTGGACAGAGGAACCACACAGTCCCACAGGACTGAGCGCTAAGCACGTTGACATTTCATATCATTCATTGATTTAACAAGTTTGTACCTGAGTGTGAAGTAGCATTAGTAAGGTTCTAGCCCACTGGGGATGGGTGGAGTGGGATTTAAGACTATGAACTTAAGTTTATGACCAAAGGAGTTAATGGGGAAATTCCCTGAAGGGGAGAGAGAGAGCATGATAGTAAATCCAGGCTCCTAAGTAGATGTTCACATACCTGCAGTGACATGGTGTCCCCACTACTGCTCCTGGTCAGTCAAGCCTCTGCAAACTTTACTGCCCAGGGGTGCATAAGATCTATTACCAGTTTAGTGCTCTAAATTGAGCCATTTGTCTTCAGACTTTCACATTATACTGTTTAGACAGTTCAGGCTCCAATAACTGACAGAGGTTTTATACCACGAGGTGCCATGTGGGCCACAAAATTAGCATCCTTGGTACTTAAAAACTTATCCCACAAATACTCTTGCAACACAGAAGGCAAGAAGAGTGTCTCAAAGGAGGAGAATGTTCAACTGAGTTGATTGGTGTAAAGAAATTGGATTTAGCCACTGGTGACCTTGGGTAGGCCAGTGTTTTGTAAGGGGCTACCAGAGCCCATGGTAGGTGGGGGGGCAGGGTGCACTTCACCCTATCTTATGATTTAAGTAAGTTAGGACATGTAGGCCACTTAGAAAAGGACCAGGCACATAGTAAGCCCTCAGTGTGCAGTAGGAAATAGACAGGCCCCAGGCTGAGTGTCTGCAGATAGTCCCCTGTGGATGGATGCTCCAAGATAAAGACAATGCAGGAATTTAATAGAAGAGAATGAGCTCTACTCAGATAAAAGATGAAGACCACATAGTTCTCATTCTCTAGGTCTAGGAGAACTTCGTGACTGCAGAAGCACAGAAAGACTCCTTGGAGGTGAAAAAGGGAGTGATGCACCTACCCACAGGCCTCTTCACTAGAATCCATCTTGGCTAAGAGATGCATGCACACGTGGGAGGACCCTGAGATATACTAACTTCAGACTCAGAGCCAAGCAGAGTGAGATGATTGGCCAAAAGAAACCTGGAAGATATGCCCCATAGAAGTGATTCCAACTACCATGAGGGTGTGGCTCATTCTCTGAGCCCACGTGTGTGTGTGTGTGTGTGTGTGTGTGTGTGTGTGTGTGTGTGTGTATCCACATGTACTCTTTTTTCCTCCTAATAAACACTTTACTTGTTTCACTGCTTTCTGTTTGCAAGAATTTATTTCTACCAAGCTGATGGGCCAGGGCCTTGTCACTGGCCACTGTCCCTGGTGGCCTAGTGGCTAGGATTCGTCTCTCTCACTGTTTCTGCCCGACTTCAGTTTTTGGTCAGGGAGCTGAAATCCTACTTGCAACTGCTGCAGGCCAGGGTCATCTGAAATCAAATGTGTCTATTAATAATAATAGCAACATGTACATAGCACATATTATGTATTAGCATAATTTAACTCATTTAATCATTATACCATGAGTAATCAGTGTCACTCCCATTTATAGAAGAGACTGAGGCATAGAGAATAATGTACCAAAAGTCTTGAAGCTATATCTGCCTTCTGCACCCTGACACCAAATCTCAGAGATGGGAGTTTTGGCTGAAGGAGAAAAGAGTAGCTTTACTGCTTTGCCAGGCAAACAGGGCCACAACCAGCTAATGCCCTCGAACTGTGTGTCTCAAAAAATTTACAAGAAGATAAGGGTTTTTTTTTTTTGCTGAAAGATATGACTTTTTAAAAAAAATCTGACAGTTTTTTAGCATTTCTTAGAGAATGTATTTTTGTGGAAGGGGGTAAGTTAACACTTAATGAAAAAGAAACCCTCCTGATTTGATATTGCATATCTTCATCTGCCATCTCCTCCCTTCCTGTGCCCATGACCCTGACCCTCCTCAAACCACCTGTTGCTTGTAGGCCCCCTGAGTGGAAAGGTAACCCCCATATCCCCATCAGCCCTGCCCTTAACCCTTGGAGTTACCTCTATTCTCCTCCACAAGGACTTTTGATATAAGAGATTTTGTATACCTGGGTGCATGGGAAGAAATTGTAGACTTAAAAATATTCATGACCTAAAAGTTGAGAGTTATATATTTTATTTGGTGGGAGTTTTTAGGACTGCAAGCCTGGGAGAGAATGTCTCAGTTGCCCCTGAGAGAACTGCTCTGAGGAGGGGAGGGGAGGAGCCAGGTTACATAGAAGTTTTGCAGCAAAGGGCAGATAGGATGAACATCAAAAGATTAATGTTAATGAAGGAAAACCAGATCACCCAAGTTAAGGAACTTAGCACTTTCCTATGTAGGGGAAGATGCAAGAGTCTGGGCTCGCTGAAATATATGCACCTTAGCTGTCTGGGGCCAGTATCCTATTTTCTAATCCTGATCTTTCTTTCCTGAGGGCTCACAATAGGGAGTGGCTGCAGCCTGATGGCTGCTACACGGCAGGTATTCTTTCCTTCCTGAGTGTTTTCAGGGCTCACTAGGTCCTTCTCAACTGTGGCTGCAATAGCTGGTGACTATGACATCCCTGTTTCCTGATATGGCGGGAAATAATCTATTTCTTAGAATTGAAGGCAAAAGTAATCATCATTTTAAGTTGAAAATACCTATGTAAACAGTAATTAAGCACTTAGTTTTTATGTAACTTCCCATGGCCATCTCAATAGCATCGTATTTGAAGAAAATCTTATAAGAGAGCTGGCCTAAGTCTCACTAATCTGAAAGGGATGAACCTCCCTGATTCATGGGTCTGGTGAGAGCACAGTGATTGATAGCAGATAGCAAACATGTTGATTGTTTCTTTCTGTGTCTCAGCTTAAACGTTTGGCTTGTTTGTGTCTTTTAAGCTTGAAACTCTCAGCTGCACGTTATAACTTTTGCTTTGGTTTTGGAAAGTACAAATTTTAGTTCAGATGTGAAATGTTTTTCTAAATTTGAAAAATTACTTTAAACTGGAACTTACTTTTCCTTTCTGTTATTGTCAACACTAAGGAATGAATCCAGAAAATATGATTATCACTTTCCTGCATGATTATTACTGACAGCTCCCAAGTACTGCATGACTATACTTTTGCTGTGTCCTAGAGTGGGTGTTTAGTCATATAGTCTGGGGACCAAATACTCTAGACTTTTGGTTAAGAACTTGAGATGAGGTGGTAGTAGCAAATGAGACTGAGAAGAATGACCCGTTAGGAAACTCAAGAATAGGATGCACTGGAGAACCATAAAGTGTTTCTAGGAGAAAATATGAGGCATCTGGGTCCATCACTGTTTTAGGTGAAGCAAGAGGCAAATCTACAGGATTTAATAACATTCAGGTCATGGTGACCGACAAGCAATTACAGTGGAGCAGTGGGCATGGAAGCCTGACTAGAGTCGTTGCATAAAAGCTGCCAGGGAGAGGAATGGGAGTCCCTGGTTATTAACAAACAATTGACTTGAATGCCTGAATTCAGGACGCTGAAAGAAAAATCAGCAGAATCTTTAAATTTAGAGAGTGTGATGAAAAGAATAGTGAAATAAAGTAGAAGGGGAAAAAAATGAGGAAAATGTAGGCAGAGTAGGAGAACACTTAAGTTAATCAGTAAAACTCAAAATCTATGTTCTTTGAAATGATGAATAAAGACAAGGAAGGGGAGACCCTGTTGCTCATGGATTATGAAACCAACGACATAGTCACACACATTGGTAGCAGAGGAAGAGACACCTTTAATCGAATGCCGGCAAGCTGGGGGGACGGGAGGCTCCATGTCCCTCAGAAACCACCTGTGGAGAGCCTGCTCTGCCGTGAGACTTTACAGGGAAGAAGAGAAGTAATCCTGGTTAATCACTGAAATGAGGGGTCAGAGTTTCCTCATAGCTCTCTCACTGTGCGAGGGCTTGTGTGCAGGCATATGGATTTCTCATGATCTTCCTCCAGATATTATCTTGTTCACACAGTTTTTTTTTTTTTTTTTTGTAACTTATACTTTACATTTTGCTTTGGGGATATAACTGATTAACAGTGTTATGAGAGTTTCAGGTGAACGGCTAAGGCACTCAACCATGTATATACATGTATCCATTCTCCCCCAAATTCCCCTCCCATCCAGGCTGCGACATAACGTTGAGTTCCCTGTGTTGTACGGTAGGTCATTGCTGGTTATCCATTGTAAATATAGCAGTGTGTCCATGTCCATCCCAAACTCCTGAACTGTCCCTTCCCTCCATCCTTTCCCCCAGTAACCACACGTTTGTTCTCTAAGTCTGTGAGTCAGTCTGTATCATTTCTTTTTAGAGTCCATATAAGAGGGATGTCACGATATTTCTCTTTCTCTGACTCAATTCACTTAGTATGACAATGTCTATAGCAGTTACACTTATAAAAGGCTCA